GTTCAAAAGGCCTTCCATCGTGGGCGCCACTGCAAGCACACATGTAACAATGATCTATGGAAACTTTTCTGGGAAGCCGTGGACAAGCGGCAGCACCCCTTCAGCATGTATAAGGTAAAGACGCACGGCACTGAAGAAGATCTGGTCTCGGGCACAAGATACCCAGTGTACTATGTTATGAATCGGGGAGCTGACGCTGTTGCTGCTAGAGCAGCGGAGTTCTACGAGCTTCCAGAAGAGATACTTGAAAATGTTCAGAATCAGGATGACGAAATGAACATAATGATGAAACGCCTTGCCTGTATCCAAGACCTTGCCTGGAGAGAGGGCCCCAAGCTGTCGGATCTCAAGGTCCCCAAGGAAGCCCACGCGAGGAGATTTCGAGAGGCCCCAGATGAGCCCCCACGGTTTGGAGAGGCATGGCGATAGGATTCAATGCACTCGCTGCGCGAAAGTAGGACCTTTCGGAAAAGCTAGGTTAGTCAATAAGCCACGCTGCCCAACCCATAGTATTTTCCCAATTCATGAATCTCACAAGCCACATGTGCGTGTGTTTCGAGGAATCACCCAGTGCTTGAAGTGTGGGGGGTGGAGCGGGTCCATGCAGGAGTAAGAAACTTGCGGGACCCTGCCTTCCAGCCACAAGCACCGGACGCAAGGCCGTTCGACGATTCCTCCACCAGCAGCGGCCGCAGGGGCTGCCCAGCTGGCCGACGGGCGAGCTCGCCTACTTGCGCGAGCGGGCTGCCTGCGAGGCTGGCGCCGTGCCGCTCTTCTAGCGGCCGCGGCGGTCCAACGTGCTCTGGAAACGCAGTTCCGGGGCACGCTGGCGGACGGGCCCTCGGCGCGCGAGGAGAGGCCCGCAATGCTGGCAACTGGCAACTGGCAACTGGAGGAGGAGGAGGAGGAGGAGGAGGAGGAGGAGGAGGAGGAGGCGGAGGAGGAGGAGGAGGAGGAGGAGGAGGAGGAGGAGGAGGAGGAGGAGACGGAGGAAAGGGATCAGGACGAGGAGGGAGGGGATGGGAGGGGGGGGAAGGCAGAGGATACGGCACTGCCAAGGGAAGCGTCGCGCGGTGCACGAACGCCCTCCTGAGGCGTCAAGCTGCTAGCAGCCTGGCTGGCACGCGGAAAAGCTGGGACCCCACCGAATGGATCTCGGGTGCCAGCTGCACAGACAGAAGATAGCAGTGACAAGGCCGAAGGTGCCGACGCGGGGTGCACTCAGGATGGTGCACCTCTCTCACGTCGCGGCCTAAGCGAAGGCACTCAGGAAAGCGTCAGCCTAGAGCTCCAGACAGGTATGCGGCTTCACCTGGGGCAGTGCAATGCGCTATCCTCCAGGCTGCGCCCCCCCTCAACGCAAGGGGAGTCCACCGTAGCCGCTCCCTGGGAGCAGAGGTGTGCGGCGTCACCTGGGACAGCACAGCTCGTGCTATCCTCCAGGCCGTGCCTCCCGCAAAACGCAGGAGGACCACCGAAGCCACTCCCTCTAGATTCCTGCCCGTGGACCAGGTGTGCGGCATCACCTGGGGCGGCGCAGCTCGCGCCATCCGCCAGGCTGTGCCCCCCTCCAGGCGAGGGGGGCCCGCCGAAGCCGCTCCGTGGTCGCTGGGGCCAAAGGTCACGACGAAGCGAGCACCTGACGTCATCTGAGGCAGCGCCTAGGCATCCTGTCCAAGGTGGCTCAGCACTCGTCGGCGCATCATCGTCCGGCTTACTAAGCTTAGGGCGGCAGAGAATATCCAGCAGGCCTTCAGCGCACAACGCCCACTTGTACGCCATGTCACTGAAAAGGTTGTCGCCGCTTGTGGTCTCCGCCGCCGCACCATGAGCAAGAGCGGTTCTATAGGCCTCGACGTGGGAAGCAGTGCCGCCGCTGAGTACCTTGCGACCCTCTCGTGCCAATTTGGTGCCATTGAGTGGTGGCCCAGCCTTGAACACGCGCCCTCGAGGTCCGACGAGCGGGCGAAGAACACCATTCCACGGCCGAGCACGAAAGAGGCGCCCGCGAGGCCCAGGGACTCGACGAGGGGCGGCATCTCGAACAATGTAATGAGGCCCAACCTTGAAGACGCGCCCAGGAGGTCCAGGGACTGGCCGAGGAACGCCATGCCAAGGTCGCGGGCCAAAAACTCGCCCACGCGGCCCAGGAACTGGGCGAGGAGGAGTGCCATCAGGGGGTCCATGAACGGCGTCGACACGAGCACCACGACCATATTGTGGGCACACTTCGTCGCATCGATGAACGGCCTGAGAATCATCAACTGCGCCTCCAAGAGGAAAGTTATCACGGACTCCGTCACGCACTTCACGGCGATGGTCCTCGAGAAAGCCGCGACGTGGGACAGCAGCAGCACGGCCAGCGTGAGTAGTACCCATAGCCGCGGCTCCAAGGACAACGCCCCCACGACCCGTAGCAACGCCACTGCCCGACAAGCGCGAGGCAAAGTCGTCGGAGCCGTCAATGCCAAGAGAGGCGAGAGGACCAGCAGGGTAGTATACAGCAGCCTGGCTACGAAGGGGCGTGCGCACCGTGGCGGCGGTGCGGATCCGTTGCGCAGCCAAGTCGGCCCCTGCGGCCGCGGAGAGGCTGGTGAGCGTCCCCAGTGCGTCCATGCGTGGAGCCCTGTCCACAGCCGGCGTGTCCGGGTCCCGTGTCTGCAGCAGGGCGACGATGGCGCCAGCCGCTGCCTGCGCATGGCGCGCCGCCGTGCACCGCGCCCTGGCACGGCGACGGGCAGCTCGGGACAGCGAGGCCGCACAGGAAGGCGGCACGTGCGCTGTCAACATGAATCGCATCAGCAGCTCCAGGCGAGGCCAGGGGCATCCGCGGACGCGCCAGGGGAGAGGCCTGGCGCTGGGGGCATTGGCACGGCGGGCGCCCGCCGCGGGGCAAAACAGCTGCGGTGCCCGCGCCAAGCCACCTGAGGGAAGACAGAGGAGGAGGAGGAGGATGGCGAGGAGGAGGAGGAGAGGATGATGATGATGATGATGATGAGGAGGAGGAGGAGCAGGAGGAAGAGGAGGAGCAAGCCCCCTTCAGCTTCTCCTCCTGCTCCTCTTCTTCTCCTCCTACCCCTCCTCCTGCTGCTGCTCCTCCTCCTCCTCCTCCTCCTCCTCATGCCCCTCCTGCTCCTGCCCATACACTTCCCACTCCCCCTCCCCTCATCCTGCTTTTCCTCCCCCTCCTCCTCCTCCTTCTCCGCCTCCTCCTCCTCCTCGTCCTTCTCCTCTCCAGACACTTCCCACTCCCTCTCTCATCCTCACCCTTCTCTTCCTTCTCCTCCTCCTCCTCCTCCTTCTCCTGGGCACGCGGCCTTGCAAGGCTACGCCGCACAGTGCGTCATACTTTGCCCGCGCGGAGCGTATGCCGCACTGTGCGGCGTAGCCTAGCATAGCCTACGCTTTCATGCCTTCAACCCTCAACCTCATCTACCTCCTCCTCCACCTCCGCTTCCTCCTCCTCCTCCTCCTCCTCCTCCTCCTCCTCCTCTCCCTCTTCCTCTTCCTCGTCCTCCTCCTCGTCCTCTCCTCCTCGTCCTCCTCGTCCTCCTCCTCCTCCTCCTCCTCCTCTCCTCCTCCTCCTCCTCCTCCTCCTCCCCCTCCTCCCTCCTCCTCCTCCTCCTCTCCTCCTCCTCCTCCTCCTCCTCCTCCTCCTCCTGCTCCCCTTCCTCCTCCTCCTCCTCCACCTCCTCCTCCTCCTCCTCCTCTTCCTCTTCCTCCTCCTCCTCCTCCTCCTCTTCCTCCTCTTCCTCCTCTTCCTCCTCTTCCCTCTTCCTCTTCCCCTCTCCCCCAGAACTCTCATTCCGCAACTCGTTCCGATCCCCATTTTTTATTCGTAGATACACTCCCACTTTGCCACCGTGTCGGTCGATGGCGACGCAATGGGGGCCCTTTCCACCGTACTTGCAAGAAACACATACAACGTCTACAATCTTATTTCTGGGGTTTGGGGTTCAGGATTAACGTCGACATTATGTCGTCCATGCTGCAAAATGCGTGGCAGAACATGGGGCGGGGATCCGCACCCCTCGCGAGAGGCCGGGAAGTCGCTCTCGCCTCGGCGCCACGCTCACTGCTCTAGAGAGTTGATCTCCCGCTGGGGCGCGCCGCACCTTTTTCGCACGCGCGCGCTCGTCGACGCGCGAGCGGACGAAAATGTAGCTCTCGTCTCGCCGGGGGCCCGCGCGTGTGCGACTTGCCGCCCTCGCCCAGATTCCACGCGCATCTGGCTCGGGAGCGGCGTTCCAGTGCGGGCGCGGCGCGCAGTTGCGAGGTGTGAGGGCGGTCCAATCCGAAAATCAAATCGTGCCCCAATCGACCCTTACCTCGTGGGAGGGAGGGCGGGAGTAGGCGGAACCCTCTCCCTCTCGCTCGACATGGCTGACTTGTCGCCTACTCCTACTCCTATCTGCCCCCAGACCTCGGGCGGATGCATCTGCGGGCCCTGAGCTGTGAGGCGGGGATTAGTCCATATCCACCGCCTCGGAACCGACGTCCTGGTGCCCCAGCGGGCGGTGGATATGGACATATTTCGGCCCTCGGGGGCCCGAATCTGTTCATATCCACCGCCTGCAGAGGCTCAGAAAACTGACCCTCCAGGCGGTGGTCATGTATAAACTCCCGCCTCGGATGAGCACCCGACCACTTGCCTGAGCCATTTTTCCATCGGCGTCAGGCGCTAGGGCTATCCCTTGGTGACCTGGGCTCCCGAGGCCTCCGGAGGCGCCCAGGTCGCACGCGAACGGGCTGCTGGAAGTCTGGCTGGAGGTTCCCTTTTAAGCCCTGGTAGGAGGCGCGCTGGCTGCTGATAAGCCCGCGCGCCTTCCTCTTCTTCCTTCTTCTTCTTCTTCTTCTTCTTCCTCTTCCTGTGTCGCTTCTCCTCCTCCTCCTCCTCCTCCTCCTCCTCCTCCCCCTCCTCCCCCTCCTCCTCCGCCTCTGTATATTCCCCCTTCCCCCGTCTTCCTCCTCCTCCTCCTCCTTCACGGGCAGCCGGCATTTTGCGGCCGCGTGCGCTGCGGTGGCGTCAGGGCTCGGAAAGCAGGCGGCTCCTGCTCGCGGCCGCGGGCGGCGGCGTCGCCGAGCGGGAGGCGGTCTCCCCCGCAGGGCCGCTGTTGCGGACACCAATGCCTATGCTTAGTTCGTTCGGGCCGCCCTCACAGGTCGCCCTCGCGAACGGCCCAAGTGATTGACAGTCCTGCTGCGCAGCACGCAGAGAGAACGTAGAACACAAATGGCTGACACCATTCAACCGTTGCGACGTAGATGCCATTGAACGCCAAACTTGCACAGATGGCGCTGGCAATCTGAAGCAAGCCTCTCAGGCCCATAAAGGCACCCTGACTTGACGTGTGAAGGTGAGGCTGGACTGCGCCGGCGGCGTCCACCGACCACTTCTCGGCCAGCGACGAGAGCAGAACCGCACAGCCGGCATCCCACATGGAGGCCAGGCCCTCCGCCGTGCAGAGCGCGAAGAGTGCCGGCACCGACACGGCCCAGCCGAAGCATCCGAAGGTCAGAACCGATATCGCAGCGCCGATGCGCACGCACCACAGCGATGCGACCCTGGCAGCATGCCCAGCACGTGCGGGAGGAGCGCCCTCGAGCGACGAGCCTCTCGGGGCTCGCGCTGCTGCCTCTGCGGCGGCTCGCGGCGGCGGCTCGCTTCGCGTGGGCTGCGTGCGTGCGGCCATGGAGCTGACCAGAGAGAGTAACATTGGGAAAACCAGTGCGGCGGAAAGCGATCGCATCAGCCATGGCACCGCCAGAAACCAGCCAACGGCGGCATCACTCATTCCAAACATGGACAGCTTCGCATAGGTGACAATGAGCCCACTCAGAGCTGTGTTGATCGTGGCGTACAGCAGCATGAACGAAGAACTCACAGCAAGAACAGCTCTTGAGCGCAGCGGCTGCAGACAATCGTACAGGGCAACTTTACACAACCCCTGCCAGCGTGCATCGTTCCTGTCTCTGCCTTCCGACAATGAGGCCACTCTCGAGGACAATAGCGGAATGGCCGCTGGGAGTGTCTCTGCGAAGGCGACAACCGCAACTACAAGCAATAGAGCATTAGTTACAAAGAATGTCAGATAGGCGAGTTGATAACGATCACCATGCAGCCAAGGCAACGGTACAAGCTCGGCCTGGGTGATGTACCCGCCCACAAGGGGACCAATCGTGCCGCAGGCGTAAAACATCGCTGTCGCCCGCGCCAGCAGAACAGAGCGCTGTAGTTCTGTGACCGCCGTATCAGCAAGAGAAGCCATCAAAATACTTTGCAACGTGAAAGAGCCTCCCCCAAGGCCGTTGATGACGTAAGGAGGCATCATCCATGCAAGATTGAGCTTACATAAGCATACAATCAGCATGCCAGCACTTCCGAACAATTGCGTCAAGAGGCACCATATCAGAACTGGGCGACGCCCAATGCGGTCAGCAAGAAAGCCCAAGTGGAAGCACACCGATAAAGTTGGGATATTACACGCAAGGTTGACCCAGAGGAGCCATGTCTGAGCAGAGGCCGAGACATCCTTTCCGCCGCACAGCTTGCCCGTAGAAGAAAAAATGCCGTGCAGGGAAAGGCAACGACGAGCAATTATATACTCGTTCTGGGCTGGCAGAACGACCCAAAGTGGCACATAGAATATGGCATACAATAGAAATATCACGAATCGCCTGCGATGCGCTGACGAACAACTACGGGCCATGCCGTTCCATGTGCACCAAAGCTGGCAATTCATACCTGTCCGTGCAGCGCAACACATTCGAAATCATTCCTGGACCAACGCAAGTCAAAAACAGGACGTGCCCCTGCGGGTGCATAAGTAGCGACAGCTTATGCTGCAAGCTGCGAGGCCCTCGAGCCAAACTCTTAACCAAAATGGCAGCGGAAACCCGCGCGGGTTCTTGGGGCGCCCGCTCCTTCCTCCTCGGGTGCGCCGACGAGGGGCACCAATGAAAAGGGGGCTATGGTGAGGGCGTTGGATAAAGGAACCGTTGGATACGGAATAGATGGTCTGGAAGCCAGTGGAATTTCTATCTGGATCGGCCTTGGAGTGCCATCTGGGACCTGCTCTAAAGTAAAGCATACTGTAGACGGACCTACCCTTTCTCCGACCTTGCACAGCGCCGAACGCAACGGCCACATTGTCCATAGACGTATTCACCCCGACAATTTCTATAGACGTCACGGCACCCAATGTTTCCGTAGCCGCTTTCGGCTAGAACGTGAGAGCGGTATGTGGCACTGGCCCCAGATGTGTCTTCTAGAGGCAGGTAGACTTGGCACTCCAAGATTGACCACGAATCTCGGGAGCGCGCAAACATGGATTAGCGATCCATGGATTTGGCGAGCGGTCGACCATGGATCGGGGGATGTGCCCTCCCCAAAATGCGGCCGGTATCGCCTCGTTCGGCGGCGGACATCCGCGATTTCCGATGGAAGCTGGCCCTGTCGCTAATCCACGCCCCTTGATCCATGTTTGCGATCGCCTGAGAATCTCACCGCCGCCCTAATCAGAGAAAGAACCCTCCAGGGTCTGAAGAAGCTTCCTGGGCACACCCCTTCACGAGTGCCCCCACCGCTAGTGCATCTGATGGTCCGAGGCACGTGTACGGCCGAGTGGGGGCCACTGGACGTACTGAAAGAAGCAGTGGAAGGGGCCATGAGATTTCCTCCTCCTCCTCCTCCTCCTCCTTCTCCTCTTCTTTCTCCTCCTCCTCCTCCCTCTCCTCCTCCTCCTCCTCCTCCTCCTCCTCCTCCTCCTCCTCCTCCTCCTCCTCCTCCTCCTCCTCCTCCTCCTCCTCCTCCTCCTCCTCCTCCTCCTCCTCCTCCTCCTCCCCCTCCCCCTCCCCCGCCTCCCCCTCCTCCTCCTCCTCCTCCTCCTCCTCCTCCTCCTCCTCCTCCTCCTCCTCCTCCTCCTCCTCCTCCTCCTCCTCCTCCTCTCCTCCTCCTCCTCCTCCTCCTCCTCCTCCTCCTCCCCCTCCCCCTCCCCCTCCCCCTCCTCCTCCTCCTCCTCCTCCTCCTCCTCCTCCACAATTACTCAATATGAAAATACTCTCCCTCTTCCCCTGATGGCGTCCGGGTGATGGCCGCGCATTCTCCGCGTACTGTTTTTTACACACAGGATGCCCGGGAAATCCCGGGAAACGACTCTCGCTGAGGCGCCGGCGTCATTTTCGGGCCGAACGCCCCCCGCGTATTGTTTTTTTTAACACACAAGATTCCCGGGAAACGGGTTTTCGCCTGCGTTTTTTTGTTTTTTAATAATGCTCTCGCTGAGGCGCCGGCCTCATTTCTGCTCCCGAAGCGTTCCGAATCGTGCTCCCGCTGCAGCGTGGGCCTCATTTTCGGATCGGTGTTTGGCCTCCGTCGTTCAGCATGGCGTTCTCGCCCCAGCGCGGGCCTCTTTCTCGCGCGCCCATCCGCCCGCCACCACCGCGCCAGCACCACCACCACCACCACCACCACCACCACCACCACCACCACCACCACCACCACCACCACCACCACCACCACCACCACCACCATCACAACCACCACCAGCACCAGCACAACCACCAGCACCAGCACCAGCACCAGCACCAGCACCAGCACCAGCACCAGCACCAGCACCAGCACCACAACCACGCACACACGCACGCACGCACGCACGTGCACCACCACCCACTACGCACGCGCGCGCGGAGCCACAGGTCCGCTACGACACGCGTCCGCGGATAGAGAAAATCAGCGCCATGGTAAGGGATGGGAGGGAGGGGTAGGACGTCAGATATGACGCGAGCGCACCTAGCTTGTCCTCCTCCCCCTCCCCCTCCTCCTCCTCCTCCTCCTCCTCCTCCTCCTCCCCCTCCTCCTCCTCCTCCTCCTCCTCCTCCTCCTCCACTTCCTCCTCCTCCTCCTCCCCCTCCTCCTCCTCCTCCTCCCAGGGAGACTTCATGGGCCCAGCCATGATATCTACGCACCTCAGCTCACCCTCCTCTTCGGCGCCCGGTGGGTTCTGGTGCCCCCCGGGCCTGCGGCGGCCGCTCGGGACGATGCGGACTCCCGCTGGAGGTGCGCGACGAGGCGCAGCTGCTGGACAGGTCGCCCCGAGGCGAGAAAACCGCGCAGAACCAACGGTAGCCTCATCCCCCCTTCTCCTCCTCCTCCTCCTCCTCCTCCTCCTCCTCCTCCTCCTCCTCCTCCTCCTCCCCTTCCCCTTCGACGGCGAAGCCCTCCTCACCCCTCTGTTTCGGGTGTTGCCAAGAGTTTCGGGCGTTGGCAGAGCTGGGTTTAGTGAAACCTGGTTTAGTGATTTGTACTGGGGGCGGCGGCCCCGGTACGGTACACTTGGTATAGTGAATTTGGTTAATTGAGGGGCCCCAGGGCCCTACAACTAACAGGGTCCCCTTGCCCGGGGTCCTGGCTATACCCGAGAGTTGAGCAGGGGCCGACCGTCCCGACATTCCTAGAGGCCTACCACGACATGTCCTTAGAACCAGCGTGGACGCCAAGCACTGGTTTTCCTGCAGTTTATGTCGTGCAGCCTATGCGGTGTGAGCTATGTAGTGCATTCTGTGTGGTGCAGTATTTTCTATATTGGTGCGAGCTCTGCGGTGCAATCTATGTGGTGCAGTCTATGCTATGCAGTGCAACACAGGTGGTGTAGTCTACGCGGTGCAATCTATGAATTACAGTGTGTGTTGCGCAACAAATGTGGTACAATCTGTAGTGGTGCATTCTATGCCGTGCAATCTATGTGGTGCAATCTGTGGTGTGCCAGCTGTATGGTGCAAGCTATGTTGTGAGCGGCCAAGAAGCGCGCCGCGCGCGCCGCAAGCGCGCTTTTGTCGTGCAGTCTTCTTGGTGCACTCCAACTGCTGGGACGAGAGGCGACGACGCGGCGACTGGGCGGCGACCGGGCGGCGTCAGGGCGGAGACGGCGGCCACATAGCCGCCAGACCGAAGACACGGCCCATACGACGGGCGGCGACGAGGCGGCGACGGGGCGGCGACGGGGCGGCACGGAGCCGTCAAACCGGCACACACGCCCAGGCGACGGGCGGTGACGAGGCGGCGACGGGGCGACGACGGCCGGGACGAAGCCGCCAGACCGACACACAGGCCCAGTCCGTTAGACCAAAAGTAAGAATCCCTTAACTGCAAGCACTGTTTGGGGAATGCTCTCAGGTGTTCTCAGAGCCTGAAGCCGATGCATGCAAGCAAGACGGCCTCAGCCAAGCATGCTCCGAGACCATCTCGCGCAAACCACGGAAAGTTCTTGGAAGCCTCTCTGCTGGGCCCACAGGCGAGACACGATTCCACTGCTTGACAACGCGTCTCTGGCCCAGGGTGCCCCCAGGACTGCCGGGGGGAGGACCACGTGGCCTCGAGGGCGTCCCCCTCCTGAGGCGCCAGAGGGCCCGAGAGGGGCCCCCCCCCGGCGCGGCAACCTGGGGGGCACCCCTTGGGCCCGGGTGGCCTTCAGCAGCCCACGACCCCTAGGGTTAGGTCGGGCAGGTCCTCCTACAGGCAGATTTTCCAAGACAAATTAAACATAATCAAAAATAATCGAAACTAGCAGAAACTAGTCAAACAACTCAAACCAAAAAAACTAGCTAATCATCGGCGGCGAGCGAGGGGGGCAAATGAGAAGGAGGAGGCCTTCTCAGAAGGCGGCGGGGCTGCTCAGAAGCCCTCGCGCCTTCTGAGGAGTGTTTGTCTTCTGTCTTCGGGGAAGGCTCAGAAAACTCATCAGAAGGTCCGGGGACTTCTGAACCTTCCGAGAAGGCCTTCTCCTTCTCCCTTCCCCCCCTTCTACGGGCGGCGCCTGCACACCGACTCAGGAGAGGTCCTCCCAAGGGGCTCCCAGCGGGCGCGAAGAGCAGAGCTGCAGTCCTCGTGCTGCCGTAAGGGACGCCGACGAAGGCACGAGGCGGCTTCTTTGGCCCGACCTCCTCAATCGAAGGAGCGACCCAGAAACCAGAGCCCCTCCCGAGGCCAAGGAGTCCGAGGAACGATCTGAAAGCCAGAGTCCTTTTTGAGCCCAAGGCGGTCCGAATCTCACCGTGCTGGCTGTAAGTGGCACCTTCGGCCAGGGATTCCTCTTTGGTCAGGGCACCTTGAACCTTGATCCAACCAAGTGGCTGGCCGCAGCAGCAAAGCGACCCTGTAGCGTACGATGGAGGAGCGCCTGGCTAGCAGTGAAAGCTTCGCAAGGAGGAAGGGGAGGATGGCCAGACCGAAGAGACCACCCTTCCCTCTTCTCTTCCGCTCTGTGGGCCAGGGGCGCCTCTGGCGACGGACATCCTCGCGATCGAAAGCAGAGGCCCAACGGTGGAATGCGTCGTGCATGTTTTTGCAGCGCGGGTGCAGCGGAATGGAATCCCCCGCCCCTTGGAGGCCGTGGTTTCTTCATCTTCCCCTATCTCCTCCCCTCCGTGGTCTCTGGCGGCGCGCACGAGAGGGGCCAGGGGGAGAGGAGAAGGCTTCTTAGAATGAGGCTGCTTCTCAGAAGGCGCCCGCCCGGCATCTGCAGATAAGGCCCGCCTCCCAAGAAGCAGGGATGCTTCTGAGAAGCCTTTCCCCCTTCCCCTGCCCCTCTCTGCGTGTGGCTGAGGTTTGCTTGGGCCAAGGGCACCTCTGGCCCCCCCCCCCGACCCCTAAGTACCTCCCCGGTCCTCGGCCCCCTCCCCTTCTCCGCGCCGTCGGCGCCCTCCTCAGAGAGGGGGGGGCGCGCGCTCAGCCTGTGCCTCCAGCAGCCCCAGGTCCTGGCGCCATCTCTCTTGCGGGGGAGGCATGGGAGAAGGACACGCTTGGATCAATGATCCAGGGTCTGAAGGCTCGTGAGACAGCAATGCGGCGATGAAAAGAAGCGGGTCTTGCGCGAGATGGTGCAGCGACCGTGCGCGGAGGCTTACGCGGGCCCCCAGCGCGGCACGCTGCAATGGAAACGAGGGCGCTTGAGCGCGACCCTGCGCGGGCAGCTTGCGCGCCAGTGTCAGTGAAGACGAGCCCGTTGTCCTGCGTAGCGCAGTCGAGGCTTGGCCGTGGATGTCACCTCCACTCTCATCAGTCAAGGAGTCCTCCGGGATCTCTGAAGCCTCCTGGGCACGCTCCTGAACCAACACAACGCCCCGAACATGCAGTCAACCCGTATCAAAGGATGCGCGGTAATTAAGGACGCAAGGGCCTTGGAGGCCCATGTGAACCTTCATCGATCGAGGTTGGCCAGCCAACGTCGCCAATGATGGGCCGAAGGGGCAAGGATGCAAAGGGCATCCTTGGGAAGGTTGCTCATCCATGCTATGCGGGTTGGCTGTATGTAAACTTTTCCGCTTTGGTCCAGCAGCAAGTTGTTCCTCTTCTCGGGTGGTCTTTGCGCCCCCTGGGGCGCCGTCGTCGCCACGGCCAGGTCCAGCCCTGAAAGCCCCGGCTCGGGGCGCCACCCCCGGGGGCAGGTCGGGGGGGTCCGTTCGGAAGCCGCCTCGGACCTCGGGCGCCGCGGGAGAGCACGACGGCCGCGTCGTGTCCCCAGCGGCGCTCTGGGGTCCATGTCCCCCTACAGGCGGGTTCTGGGAGAATCAAGGGAACTAGTCTAACATATTCAAGAATAAACGAAACTAATTAAAACAAATCCACATAATATCTTTGGACCATTTTTGAATATTCCTCCTGTAGAGGGGCTTGCCCGACTTACAGTCGGGGCGTTGACCTAAGGAACCCTAAATAAGGCACGGGGCCCCTTCCTCCCATAAGTTGAGCTTCGATCCCCCATGGAAAACCTCAGGAAAACAGGAGGCAACCTGCAGAGCAATCAAGGAACACCGAGCCCCTCCCCAACGAAAAGGGTTCCTTCTCCAGGGGCCCGGCTGTACAGCTCTTGGGGCTGCTTCCGTGCTCCGACCGTCTGCGGACCTCAGACTGGCCGACGAGCCCACGGGCGGCACCCGTCTCCGCGCTGGCTGCCTCGCTCTCCGAGGCCGCCGCGCCGAGGCCAGCGAGTACCGTCGGGGTGTTGACTTAAGGAGCCTAAATAAGGAACGAGGCCCCTTTTCTCCAGAAGCTAAACTTCGACTTCCCATCGAACATCCAAGGAACATCTGAGGCAAAATGCGAAACAATGAGGGAACACGGAGCCCCTCCCCAACGAAAAGGGTTCCTTATTCAGCGCCCCGACTGTACGCAGGTGCACAGGCGGTACGTCGGCGCCGTCGGGGTGGAGAAGATCTGGCGCCAGTCGCCGCCGCGTCGCCGATGCGTCGGCGACGTGGCGCGATCGTCCGACCCCGTCCCCCGTCTGTCCCAACCCAATTTTTTTTTGGGGGGGCGGACATGTACCGACATCGCTGCTCCCAAGACCTCTCCCAGGGTGGGTGCTGACCGAGATTCCGAAGTGAATCCAGCCGTGGCGACGACTGCACTTCATGACACCGATTCACCCAAGGACGCACCCAATCCATCGGCCACGAGCGGCAAGACCACGGGATGATGCCAAAACGAACTAATATTTGAAATGGTTTGCTGTCCCGTGCGGAAGCTGCACGGGGAGCCGATTCATTACACATCGAATGGGACCTGGATAGGACCGCACTCCGCTGACCCCCCAGGAGCTCACGCAAATGGCGACATTTGCACGGTTGCCACCACCACCCACGGAGACGAGGTCTAGCTTGGGTCTTGGTAAGACCGCAGTCGTGGACACCACACAAGCTCACGGAAGTGGCAACAATCTGTGCAGCTGGCACAACTCACGGAGGCGACAACCTGTTTGGGTCTGGGTTGGACCGTGCTCCTTTGGATCTCCCCACAGCTCACGACATTGCCAACACATTGCTAGATAGATCCGCGTTCCTGTGGATGGCCCGCAAGCTCACGGGCGTCCAGGGCGCAGCGAAAGCAATCAGGAACCAGGGGAAACCAGGGAAGAAGCATGAGGGAGGGGAGGGATGGCGGGAAGGAGGGGGAGAATGAGCTGCAGTGCTCTACTCAAAACGAGTACGTACCCAAAACTGGAAGGCTGGGGCACAAGTGACAACGGGGGATGGGCGGGAGGCGTACCGGTATTGGCATCCTGTCCTTCTCTCACATTGGGGCGGCCTGAGAACTCGACTGCAAAGCCTTCCCTCAACCGGCGAGCGTCTCAAGGGACGCCAGCTGACGGGACGGCCCTCCTTGCCCAGGGCCTCGATCGAGGTTCGAGGCTCGGGGATCGAGGTTCGAGGACCGATGATTGAGGCTCGATGTTCGAAGACCCCGTGCGACCTCGCGGCAAAACCAGACACTCAAGCCCCTGGTTTTGAAACCGTTTTAGCATTAGAGGGTACGCTGGGCCAATCGCCCGGGACCTCTCCAATCCAAGACGAACCCACGACTCTTCGGCTGTTCCCAAGGCTCCTGGGGCCACAGGGAAATTTCCACCAGTCCTTTGGGCCAAGGTGGTCTAACGAGTTCCTTCCTCTTCCAAGAATCTTTCCCTTCAAAGAGTTTTGCCTCCCCCCCCGCCTCCCTGAAGTTCTTTTTTTGGGGAGTCGCGGAATGTCAGGGCGCCCGAGATGGCTCCAAGGGGGCCTCCAACGCTCCAACATTGCCTCCAAGATGGCTCAAGATAGCCGACGATGGTTCATGATAGCTTCTGACATACCTCCACGAGTCCCGACGAGGGCCACAAGACGGTCCCAAGTGCTCTCGAACCCCCTCAGGACCATCCAAAAAGGCGACTGTCTATCTCGACGCTCCCGCGTGTGATCTTCTGTTTTGCTTTGTTTGTGTCGTTTCGTTGTTTCGCATGTTTGTTGCTTTGTTCATATGTTGTATAGTTTTGCTATTCGCTTTGTTTTGCCTGTTTGCTTCGATTGTTTTGCTTCGTTCCTTTGTTTCGCACGCAAGCGGTGTCTCATTATAAAGCCGTACATCAAGACTTTATGTGTAATACATACGCTACATGTCACCTGGTAAATCGCCTACAAAAGACATATGATCGCAACAACTCACAGACACATGCTTTTGTATACCACACAGCAGGAATCAATGTGCACATCGCCTATGTACACACATAATCCCACTGTAAAGCAGCACAAGAAGATTATGCTTGCAACCGGCACGCTAGGAAACAAGCTGTGCATCGCCTACAAGGCGAGGGACCCAACCATATGCAGCTGTGGGTACCGTCGTTGTAAGCATCGCATTCGGGGAATCCCCTCATGGGGCCACGAAGCATGTGAAATGTGTGGCGAGAAAAAGCGGGGCCGCCATGCGGATGAGGGGTGTGCCGAAATGGGGCGGCGGTGCTACGCGAAGCCTCCCACTGGGGCCTCAGGTGGAGCTCCTTATGGGGCCACGACGCGTGTGAGGTGTGCGCCGAAATGGGGCGGCGGTGCCATGCGAACCCTCCCACTGGGGCCTTCGGTGGAGCTCCCCATGAGGCCCCGAGACGTGTGAGGGGTGTGCCGAAATGGGGCAGCGGTGCCATGTGAACCCTCCCATCGGGGCCTTCGGTGGAGATCCCTATGGGGCCACGACGCGTGTGAGGTGTGTGCCGAAACGGGGCGGCGGTGCCATGCGAACCCTCCCACTGGAGCCATCTGTGGAGCTCCCCATGAGGCCCCGAGACGTGTGAGGGGTGTGCCGAAATGGGGCGGCGGTGCTACGCGAAACCTCCCACTGGGGCCTCAAATGGAGCCCCTTCTGGGGCCACGAAGCGGGAGAGGGGTGTGCCGAAACGGAGCGGCGGTGCCATGCGAACCCTCCCACTGAGGCCTTCGGTGGAGCTTCGTATGGGGCCACGAAGCGTGTGAGGGGTGTGCCGAAACGGGGCGGCGGTGCCATGCGAACCCTCTCACTGGAGCTCTCCATGGGGTCACGAAACGTGTGAGGGGTGTGCCGACATGGGGCGGCGGTGCCATGCGAACCCTCCCACTGGGGTCTTCGGTGGAGCCCCCCGTGAGGCCACGAAGCGGGAGAGGGGTGTGCCGAAATGGGGCAGCGGTGCCATTGGAACCCTCCCACAAGGGCCTTCGGTGGAGCCCCCCGTGAGGCCACGAAGCGTGTGAGGGGTGTGCCGAAATGGGGCAGCAATCCCATATGAACCCTCCCGCTGAGCCTTCTGTGGGGATCCCTATGGGGCCACGGAACGCGTGAGGGGTGTGCCGAAATGGAGCGGCGGTGCCATGCGAACCCTCCCGCTGGAGCCTTCAGTGGAGCTTCCTATGAGTCCACGAGACGTGTGAGGGGTGTGCCGAAATGGAGCGGCGGTGCCATGCGAACCCTCCCGCTGGAGCCTTCAGTGGAGCTTCCTATGAGTCCACGAGACGTGTGAGGGGTGTGCCGAAACGGGGCGGCGGTGCCATGCGAACCCTCCAACTGAGGCCTTCGGTGGAGCTTCGTATGGGGCCACGAAGCGGGAGAGGGGTGTGCCGAAACGGGGCGGCGGTGCCATGCGAACCCTCCCACTAGAGCTCTCCATGGGGCCACGAAGCGTGTGAGGGGTGTGCCGAAATGGGGCAGCGGTGCCATGTGAACCCTCCCATCGGGGCCTTCGGTGGAGCTCCCCTTGGGGCCACGAGGCGTGTGAGGGGTGTGCCGAAATGGGGCGGCGGTGCCATGCGAACCCTCCCACTGGGGCCTTAAGTGGAGCCTCCTATGGGGCCACGAAGCGTGTATGGGGTGTGCCGAAATGGGGCGGCGGTGCTATGCGACCCCCCCCTCTGGGGCCTCAAGTGGAGCTCCTTATGGGGTCACGAAGCGCGTGTGGGGTGTGCCGAAATGGTTGACTGGTGCGGAGGGCAGAGGCAGGGAGTGGAGGAGGGAGGAGGGGGAGGAGGATGAGAGGAGGAAGGAACGCGGGGCACTCGATTCAAAACGAGGACCCAACACCACAGGATGCTTGGGAAACGCAACAACAAGATATGCAATCCCCCACCGTTTGTTTTGGGGGTGGCGGGGGGCTTGGGCACGAAAGACATCGGTTGGGGATTTCATGTTCTGCTTTTTGTTACCTCGAGACCCGTTTGTTTCGTAGAAGGGAAACCAGCATGACATACATGTTCGGAAATCCGCCCGAATCTCTATGATCGGCGCTGCATGGACCCCCTGCCTCGCGCGGGGAGCGCGCCAGGGGCTGCGCCAGAGACGCCAGCGGTGGGCCCCAATGCGGAGCTCCGACAGTTTATGACTCCTGCAGTTTTTCTTCCCCGCCTCGCTGCGAGCTCCTTCCCGCCCCCGCCCCCCGAGCCGACGGCCGACGACGACCGAGCCCTCCACAACTCGTGTGCCCACACCGCAGACGAGCTGCGGAGGATGTCGAACCTGTGCACGTTGGTCCCAGAGCCCACTGCACGACGATCCACAACTCGTAGAGATTCCGAAGCCCTCCACAAGGCGTGCTCCCCGAGCTGGCGCCCGGGACCTCTCCAACCCAAGACGAACCCACAAACGACTCTCCGGCTGTTCGGGTACGTTCCTGGGGCCGCTGGGAAAATGCTGCCAGTCCTGTGGGCCAAGGTGGTCTAACGAGTTCTTCCCTTCCTCTTCCACAAGCCTCTTCCTTTCAAGGAGTTGTACCTCCCCCCCACCTCCCTGAGTTTTTTTGGGGGGTCGCGGAATGTCAGGGCGCCCGAGATGGCTCCAAGAGGGCCTCCGACGCTCCAAGATGGCCTCCAAGATGGCTCAAGATAGCCGACGATGGTTCATGCTAGCTATGGACATACCTCCAAGAGACCCGACGAGGGCCGAGGTGGTCTCACGAGTTCTTCCCTTTCCTCTTCCAAAAGCATCTCCCTCTCAGGGAGGTTTACCTCTAGATTCCAAAGCCCTCGGCGACCGACGACGACGACGACCGACGGTGGTCGCCCGAAGCCGACGACGACCGACGGTCGTCCGACGACGAAGGCGACGACGACGACCGAAGGCCGAAGGACGAAGGCGACGACGGCGAAGGCGACGACGACGACGTGGTCCCCCCAGCCGAAGGCCGACGACGGCCGACGGTGGTCGCCCGCGAGCCGTCCTCCTTGGTGCGCGCGGGCACCGGGGGGCGCCTCCACGGCTGCTCCGCCGACGGCCTCGAGTCGGCCAGCGCTGC